CATATTTTCCGCACTACCAAACACCTCCTTAGTGGCCAATTGATAACGAAAGAAAAGAAAGCAAAATGGACACGCTGCTTTTAAAAGCCCATTCCACATGGCCCAAGGAAACTCCACACATTGAGCCAGCTAACACTCACCACTATTTGCCCTCCAAGTCTCAAAGCTCTCTTGTCGTATGCTGTGTGGATTAAAGGAAAAGGCGAGTAGAATTCTCATGGAAACATCCAAAATATGTATGGACAAAGAAAACTATTGATGGTCTGTCTTCATAGAAATGAATGTTGGGTTGGAGTTAGGCCCAGCCCATTTGCAACCCCAATAACTGCACTCAACCCCTCACAATTTAAAGCCTTCGCTTTCTAGTTACTAATTCACGTTAAAGGAAACCTTTCTATTTATTAAAGGGGGATGCTGCCTTAGTACTACAAACGTGGTACTACAGTGTTCATAAAGAATAAGCAGTGATCCTTGATGCAACGACTAAGACCCATCTAAGAAATTTTGACAGTCCTAAATCCCTGACCCAAATTCTCACCAATTTATTTCTCACAACAGTGTTCATTGATCAGATGATGTTGGACCAAGAGAGTGCCCCCCCCCNCCCCCCCCCCAATAAATTGAACTGTCCATACTAGTAAGGAGAGTACGATGCTAAGGGACCTCTAGGTGCATAGAGTGAAAGTGATGGTCCTAAGATAAAGCTTTTCTTTTCTTTTGTTTCTTTGGCTTTGTTGGGTCCACATGTGAACAGGCTTGAACTTGTGACCACTCACATGGAGAGAATCAGGGGTAGGGTTGCAAAAGGATTCAAACAAATCTAATATAGGTAGAACCAAATTTGATTCGTTCATTTTCGAATTTGGATTGGAAATTATCTATTGGATTCGTATCGGATTCAGATTGTAATTGGATATTATTGGATTGTATAAATAAATGGAACTAAAAGATCAAAATATTATATGTTATTTATGGAATGAAATAAAAATGACTTTGATGTTGTATTTTTGGATACAAGTATACAACATAAAGTGAATTGAAAATTACTTGTATGAAATTTGAATTTATGACAATTTAGTAAAAACACAGCATTCAAACTATATTTACAAATAGACTGGATCTGAACTCGAACCAAGCCTATGGGCTGAAACAGAAATATCCTCCTGGCATGGGCTTGGGTTGAGCAGCCCATGTTGACTACAGATGGTGGAGCTCCTTATCAATTCTTCTAATGAATGTGACCTGTTAGTTCTATGACATAATTTCCTTGGGCTGAAGTAAGATGCAACTATGTCGATAGGTGCAGTTTCAATCCGCCATAGGCCTAAAGTTTCAATGAGAGAGTACCTAGTTAACCATAACTCTGTGAGTGCCCGTTTGGGAGCCTCCTCAGAGAGCCTCTCCCAAAATGATTGTCTGAAAATCAAAAACATAGCTTTCCGGTGAAACTTCTTTAAATGGCTTCTCCAAAGCAGTTCGGTGAAAGCACCTCAACCACTTCAACCCTCCCAATCGAGCCCTTAGAGCCTGTCTGGGAGGGCTTTCATGTAACGGCTTATGAATTTAAGAGGTCAGTCCCACACGGACAGCCCATAAGCTATGTTTGGTCAAAATCATGCAAAGCCCAAAATAGCGATCTTTCAGCCAAAAATATGGGTTTCTGCTGAAACTTCAGGCCCTTGATTCCCTTCTAAACGTTGCAAAACGACTTTCCTTTCTTTCTCATTTATCTTGGAAGTTAGAAGTAGGGGTCGATATGAGTCGAGCCGAATATTTGGCTATTTGAATTTGGCTCATCAAAACAATATTAGGTTCGAGCTTGTGCTTGATTCAATCTAGAGACTTGAGGTCAAATTCGGCTTGACTCAAAAGCTCCCAAATTCGAGCTCAATTTGTCTTGACTGAGCTCGATTGCAAGCCAAACTTCCTATAAAAATAAAAATTATATATATATATAAATGATTTTTTATTTTATATACAAAAAAATTATTTATTGTCATACACATAAAAAATAAAAAAAGTCATATGTATGTATATATGTATGTATATATATACATATATATATTATATATCAGGCTCGCAAGCTTCACGAGCCAAGTTTCATTGGATTTGAGCTCATCTCGATTAGCATGACCCTATATATCGAGCTTGAGCTCAATTCAAAACTCGGTTTAAATCAAACCAAATCAAATTTTTTACGAGTCAAACTTGAATAACTTATGGAAAACTCAATTTATTTCCACCCTTTGTTAGAAGTTTGAACATCCCTTTTTGGTTTTCCTTTCATGTTTTATAAATGGATTTTATAACCAATACCTAAAGCCTGATTTGTTTGACAAATAAGAACGATCTGGGCCACTCCAATAGGAAGACAAAAAATGTCAAAAGAAAAATATCTTCTTGAATACACCAGAAATCAGTTAACCTACGGTTTGGGAGGGATTTTGTATTTCGGGTGCATTGTGTTAATTGAGCTGCGGTGGTTGAGCATGGTGTTATAGAGAAGCTATTTAGAGTAGCATCATATTTGAGTAGTGCTTTGGTCATTCAGAAAGACTATGTTGACTTTCCAGATATTTACCAAACACAGCTTCTAATCATGTGGGGCCCAGCTCGAAACTCTAGATGTTGCATTCCGAAAGTCCTCCCAAATAGAGCAATTTTTTAATAAATACCCTCTATTTATTAATGTTTATCATTTTAAATAGAGGGTTATTATTTCTTTCATGGGGGTATTCTGGATTTATCCGGATGTGCCAAAATCAGTCCCCATTAAAACTAGAGGGTGTATGCCAATTGTTTTGATTTTCTGAACAAAATAACTGCCACATCAGCGACAATGTAAAAAAAAAACATTTTATCCTTGTAAAAATAGAAAAACTAGTTTATTTTTAAACAATGTTTTCAAAACTGAATCGGACCGGATGGTCGGATCAGAGAAATTGGGAACCGGCCATCTGATCGGTTCTGTTTCACCCCAAAACTGTTTTTGGCCAAAAACCGTTGATTTGGTCAATAAACCACTGACCCGAGTGGTCAAACTGTCGAACCATCAATTCTGACAATAGTTTTTTGCCTTTTTTTTGTTGTTTAATTTTTTAATTTTTTTGTTAGAGTGGGCTGTCCGTTTGGTCTGAACAATCGGACCATTCAACCCAAGAACCGGACATAGAACGGTTTCTTGTCTGGTCCTGTTTTAAAGAGTTCACATTTGCTCCCCATAAGGGGGCACCCTACAATGTCCCACAGCACATCCTCACCATGTATTGGGAACATCTTCCAATGATGATATCATCATTTGGGATACTATCATCGAAAGATATTTCCAATACACAACGGGAAAATGCTATGGGATGTTGTGGGGCACCCCCTCTGTGGGGAGCAGATCTGAACTCCATTTTAAAAACCTTGTTTCTGAATGACTCAAAGGGTATTTGTCCACATATATGATTTTGTGTTCAAATGAAAAGCAACTGCCATATCAGCGACAGTGTAAAAAACATTTTATAATTGTAAAAGTAGAAAAACTAGTTTACTTCTGAATCTCAAAGGGTATTTGTCCACATATATGATTCTGTTTTTCAAATAAAATACAATTGGCATGTCAGCAAAAACGATGTTTTATTTTTCAAATAATAAAATATTGAAAGGTATAGTAACCAAAAATAATCCAACTTCAGGTTCAAGCCTTTAGGCTTTCAACCATTAAGGAGCTCTCAGTCACAACTCAGGACCTCCTAGCAAGACCATCTTCATACCATTTTCACAGCCCTTTGAAGATTTGCATTGGGAATATCTCTTCATGAATAAAAAATAATAAAATACAAAGGTATTCCTAATGAACGGTTGCAAAAGGTTGTGACGATGGTGTGAGTCAATTTTGTGATGACCAAATCCAATTTTAGGGTAACTTCATAGATTCAGATGTATAAACATTAAAATCCCTCGTTTCCAAGCATTCCTCACAACACCTCCCAGCCACACATAAGAACATCTCCCTTACTTTGTATTGTTATTCATTGGGAGATATTCCCAATACACAGAGAGATATGACCGTGAGGTTGGTGTGAGAATGCACTCTATGAGGAGCAAATCCCAATTCATCATTTCCCAGATACTGATTGCCTGTCCTCATTTAAAAAACATGAAGCAGAAAAAATCAGAACTTCCAAATGCACGGAGTAAGTTTAGGTAAGCACAAGCACTTTCTAAAATGGAGCAAATTACTTGTCTAATGTTAGGCTATGTTAGGTTGAAGGATTCTTAAGAATGAAGGTGGTATCAAAGCCTGTTTGACCAAGTGTTCTTGTTGCTCTATTATAATTAATTAAATTTCAGAACAAGGTGTGGGTGGTCCTGTGCTTTTCCACATTTTAAACACGATGAACTTTCGTGTGAGCGGCGTTAGAGAATAAAGTCCAGGTTTTCTTTCATTGCCTTTTTCTTTCTGTGTTTTGGGAAGAGGGATATTCATCCTTTAGAGGCAGTTCGTTTCTACAGGCTCATCCATTGATCTTCACTAAGCTTTCCTTTACACCATTACCTTTATAAGCTCCCTTCAAATCTCTTCAATGTTGTATGTGAGAGTCGGTTTCAGTTTATCCAGAAAATCAAACAATGCTATATTGCCAAACCAAACTCGTATTAATCCGGATGTCTGGATCTTATCACCTCAATATTGAATTTGCAATTGGTCGTCAGTTTTGACCTATATAAGCATCCAATTTTCTATTAAATGCTAAACCAATTTACCAAACAGATTTATATATTCAGGCCCTGAATCAACTGTATTGTTAGCGACTTTTCTCCTCGGTGTTGGGCAAACTAAACGTCCACACAGTAAGACCTGACAAGGGATTTGCATTCATAGCTTCATACACTATTAGCAGTGGCTACATAATTGTCAGCAAAGGAACTGAGCCTTCTATGACATAAAAAAGGCAAGATTCAACCAATCTGAGATATGAATAATATATTATATATAAATTTAAAGATCCATGAATCAGAATGTGATGTTGAAGCCTGTTAAAACAATGGCGAACCAGAATTTACGGTTGGGGAGAGAGAATCATATACAACCAGGCCTCTATGTACAAATTCTTTCAAGCAGCTGTCACAGGACACCTCATCTGACATGAGAATCATAGGGAATAAACACAGGCTCTGGAATAATAAGAGGCAACTTATCTATGTACATGAACAGCCTCTTCAAGTTCTCCCTGGCAATAGAAGGCAGGTCAAGAACATCTCTGCTGTCAGTGTAGATCCAAAGGTCCCCCGAGTTCACTCGTTTAAGGCTATCCCGACAGAAAGGACATGACTGGGATCGTGCACGCCTGAAACAACCAAGACATAGCACATAATGAGAACCTATCATTATACCTAGAAACAACTCTTTTGAAGTCCACTCCCCAGGACCCCAACACAGGTGTATGAAGACATCTATGGTACCTATCTAACAGAATAACAGTGTGACAACAACTTAGTGATGCAACCAATTCACTTGGACGGAGGTAAGACCCATCCATTTCTTACACCTTTGGCAATCTTACTGAAGAGCAATAAATTGATAAAATTTATTTATGTATATCTGAGAATTTTTTTTTTTTTTTGGTTCTTTCTTCTTGCAACCTAAGAAATAAAGGACATGAACATTAATGATAAGAGTCAAGACAAATAATGCTGTTTCCTTTTAGTCAAATAAGTTGAAGAACATAAATTAACACAACTACAAAGAAAATATATCACATGAACATTAAAAGATACTTACCAATCACGATAACACTTCATGCATAGTGCATGGTTGCAATTAGGCAAGACAACCTTATTACTCATCTCCATACAAATACCACACTCCTCCTCCCTCTCAAGATCAAGTTCAGAGAGCTTCCCCTTGTCCATCTCATCCTTCTTCCTATACTTGGTTTTACAAATTTCTCTCTGTTTCCGGTCTTCTACATCAGTGATTCCTCTATGAAGTTGCAATAAAGAGGGAAATATTACAGCTGCCCATGGACAAACCATTCTTCTGAGTAGATGAACTACTTAGATAGGAAAAATAGAAAACTTATTTTCAGAAAATTAAAAAGGAGAGACAAAGACATAAATACATTAAATTAACAACAACTACACAAATTGAAGATCAAACATTTGCATCAAAGGTCCACTTACCATAAAATTCTCTAATACTGGCTTTCCTTTCATGAACAGACATAGTGGTCTTGCCATCCTCATAAGCCTGAGAAAGCAAGCCACATAACTCATATGTTAAGGATGGGAAATAAAACCAAACATGTAAACTGATCAGAACCAAGATCAGCACATGCGCACCTAGTAATGGAAAGAAATGTACCTTGTAAATAAGGATTCTAAGCAATCCAAGGGAACCAGCAAGGTGGCAATCAGTCCACTGAACAAGAAACAGAAACAGGCGTGCTGCTGGACTATAAGATAATCTCATTTGAAGACAACCACCATCATATTCCCTTGGATAATCAGAAGCCCTACATTCCACAATAAAATAAATAAATATTCTACAAGTTGAGAAATGAGGATTCCAGTTTGAGAGTGGCCAGTCCCTTCTAAAACGGCAGAGCAACCAATCCACCCTTCCCGAGACCCGAAAAGGCCAGGATTAGAACATGGCAATGACCTTATAAATGAATATGTCATAACTGGTTAAATATCCTCCAGAAGTCATACCATTAGAAAATGGGGAGGATCAAACCCACCCACCAGACAATATATCGGCTTGGAGGGAGGATTCAAAGGAAGCAAATTTATGGTAAGCAATAGAGAAACTCAATGGATCAAAATCAAACGACTGAGCCAACAAGAATTTCATGAGCACAGATATCTTATACCTAACCCACTGAACCCCAAGCTTAATCCGAAAATAGACTTCCCATATTAAAAGAAAGGTAAATTTCTATTCCTGATACACAGTACCCCCGCCTTTTGGCTTTGTTTGGGGAGAGAGAGGAGATGTTCAGAAAACGCAGATACAATTGGATCAAATGCCAATAAAGTGACTAGAAAAACCGGATTAATCGCCGGGAAGGACAATAAAAATGAAACAAAAAATAACTTAAAAGTTCAAATAATGCTAGACCCACCTAATAGAACCTAGAAGAAGAAAAGAAAAAATGTATCAAATTCAACAAATTATCATGGGCAAAGTACAACAACCCCACCCCTTACTCACAGACACATACATAATACTAAAATTCATTAAATTAGCGGGAAAAGAAAAGAGCAAGAGATGAAAGAACAGCCGAAACAAACGGAAAAAAATCATATGCAATAAGAAAACTAAAAGCGAGAGAGAGAGAGAGAGAGAGAGAGAGAGGATTATATGTGCAAAGAGACTTACAGAGTATTGGCATGCTGAATATCTGCTTCGAGTGCTTTTAAAGAATCCTTGAACAACTTTCGCATGGCCGCGATTCTCTCTGCAACAAAAATCCCATCCAACAACACAGAGACTCTAATAAACCCTAGAAGTTTCCTCCCTCCTTCACTCTCTCCCCCCACTCAGCTCTTGTAAACTGTAGATTCTCCGAAGGCCTAGAAATCTGCTCCTTCGTTCATCTCTTCCTTCTTCTTCCCAATTCAAAATTTTAGTTAAATAGAGGACTCTAAATTCATGACTTTTGCAGAAAATAGAAACTCTGAATCCTCTCTCTCTCTCTCTTTGCAGACTTTTAGAAGGTTTCACTGTGTTTGTTTGTCCATGACCCCAAATTTCTTCGAGGTGGGGTATTTGCGTGTCTCTTTGGAAGGTAATTTGAAATTACCAAAATATCCATGCTTTTGCCGGGAAACCTTTAGGCTTCCTATCTTAACGCCCTTGCTCAGTTGCTCCTCAACTGAAATTATATCAACGGTTATGGGCAACGATACAATATATCTGCAGCGGCATTAATCATACGGGGTTTCCAATGATACGACCATTCTATCTCCCAAAGTGACCCATCAGAAAATTTCCAACCTTTCGATCTACTTTTATCGTCCAGAATGGCGAATATAATAATAAAAAAATGAAGACCCATTAATAAATTATACTAGGGCAGTATCCATCTTCGCATCACTTTTCTTGGAAGACTGATGTTACAGAATCTTCTGCGATTCCTAAACCATCGATTAATATTCTGAATTTCAGTCCCCTAGGCTACAACTAGCACTCTCCCTTATAAACCACACCCTGCCCGTGAATTTGATGCATTTCCTTGTACATTGGAACTATAAAATTCTGATCCGGGCTGATTGATCATTCTCCCATTAATAGATTAATGGCTGATCAAGATTGATCAGGTCCCACTTGAGGAACGTCCGATGACTAAAAATAATCTGACGGTGCTGACTTTTCGTACAAGTACAAGGAGCATGTTTCATTGGTGGAGCAGCTCGGATCAACTATGTCCCGTTCTATCCCATATCCCACGTCAATGATATACATCTTTCAAAGCGACATAGGATTAGCTGATCGCAATAGCTGCTTACCCGGCTGTGGAAACAATAATAATATTTCACATTTACTGACTTGAGTCATTATCGTAGTTCCACAGCCCAGTCTTTGAAAACATATTTTGTCACCGATTTTGGCGTCTATTTTTGCGCGGTCTGTAGGCTATAGGTTATTTAGAAGCCAAGCCCAGTAAATCATGTCGTGGTTTTTTTACATTTGGTTTATAAGAGATTTAACCACCAAAAAAACATTGCACCAAAAAGACATGCGAAATCGTTTTAGGTTATTTTTGAAAAGTTTTAAATGAATTGTTTTTTTGTTTTTTTAATTAGTTTTCACGTGGAAATATACGCCTAAACCACATCATTTTCAAAATGTAAAGATCTTGATATAAAAGCTCATTAGTCTTTTGACTGTCAGAATTTCCAGAGGATCTTTTAAAAAAGACTTATAAACGGCTTTGCACAAATTAGTCTGAACTGGGCAACTAGGTTTTGCCTCTTGAAAATCTCAACATGAGAGCCTAAAGCCCAAGGATGAGGGAAATGGAACCTAACAGTATTTTTTGCCTTTTTTCCTTAGAAATTACAAAATGCCACTCTCTACCAACTATTTTCTCTTATGCTTTTTTCTTTCAAATTACAAGAATGCCACCCTCTTCTACCAATTCTCTCTCTCTTACTTTTTTTCTTTCAAATTATAATAATGTCATTCTCTCTCCTACCAACTCTCTCTCTCTCTCTCTCTTATAAATTACAAGAATGCCACTCTCTCCAATTGAAGGAGACCTCAGTTCGACATTTCGGCTACTAGGGGACCAGCAATCAAAATAGATATATCATCATTAAGCACATGCGTTGCACGTAAAAAAAAATCTTCATATTAATTACTTGAATTTTATATATATCATCATTAAAATAGAAATTTTTCTTCATATTAAGGCGATAAAGTCACGTGAGAAACTCTTGACTGTGAAATTTACACTAACTAGATAGAAATTTATAACTTAATTGTACAAGTGGTTGGTTCCTTTAACTCTTTTATACAGTTTTATTAATATTGTATAAGTTTGTAAGAAAAAAAAAATGAATGAGAGAGGGAGCAAGAGAAAGACTGAGGGAGAAGGAGATATTGACTGAGAGGGAGAGTGAGGGACAAGAATTGGAGAGATTGAGGGAGAACGAGAGAGAGAGAGAGAGAGAGCTTTTGATTTGGCTACAGCTCGAAGCTTAGAGAGTGGGAGAGGCAGAGGGAGCGAGAAATCGAGAGATGACCGTGAGAATGAGAGATAAGGGAGGGAGATCGAGAGACAGATGGAGCGGGAGAGAAATTGAAAACCTATTTTCCATATAGGCTTTTTGTTGTGCCTAACATGGATTAAGAGTCCTATATTGATAACAACCACATAAGCCTCTGATGACATGACAGGGTTTTTATAATTTGAAATGTAGAGTCTGTTGTTAGAGTTTTGTTGGTTTCTAAGCCAATCTACAACCTAATTTTAAATGTACAGCCAACTTTGACTATAATTTTCCCTTTAAACTATATATTTTAATTACATTATATAAATAATTTTTACTTATCACACTTGATTTTTGTTTGTCTATGATATCATTTGACCCAAACCACTAACCCACCACCCAAAAAGAAAAATAGTTTTATTTCTATATTGACATTAAATTTTGGATTACATTTCCATCATTGATAAAATTATTTCTTATGTATAATACTTATTTTTGTTCAATATAATGAATGAATGATATTAAAGATGTACCCAATATTTTATTTTTTATAAATGTATAACATTAGATATGCATACAAAATTTTCTCTCTCTTTTTTCTTTTTACTTTTGTGATTCTTTGTATTTTCTATTTTTAAAAAATTTATTATTTGACTATGACATCATTTCATTTCTAGGTGGATTTTAAATTTGGCCTTCAATTTTCATCATTAATAAAAAATACTTCTTACACTTCATACTTATTTATTTTAATTTTTATACTATTAAAATTATGGCATTATTCGTTAATTCATTTGACCACAAATGGTCGAATTCCTTGCCCACCATTGGAAGGGAAGAAAATGGTTTTGTTTTCAAAGTATTTTTTATACTATTAAAATTAATATTGTGGATTTAATTTCAATAATTTACTGATGAGAAAAATGTATCTTAAATATAGGATTTAATGAGAGAGAATAAGAAAACATTTTCATTTCCAATTGGTTTTAAATTTTACGTTCCATTTCCATCATTAATAAAAACATTTCTTATTTATCATATTTATTATTGTTTAATATGTATGTTAAAAATGTTCCAATTTTTTTAATTTCTTTTTTTTCATTTTATCTATTTTTAAATTGTATTATTTAATCGTGGCAAAATGGATCAACCCATTTGATCCAAATGGCTTAATTTCTTACCACCACTTAGATGAAAACACTATTTTTTCTAGGTAGATTTTAAAGGCATAAACTTTTATGTTATTGGAGTTATTAATTTATTAAATATGGATTTAATTAATTGAACTTAATGCTGAGAAAAAACAAAAATGACTTAAATATATGATTCAATGAACATGAATGCAAGTTAATAACTTAAATGTTGGATTTAATGAGAGGATTGAATGCATTGAATATATTAAAATTACCCATTTTCAACTCATTTAATATCAATAACCGATTACCCTATTTGCCCTCATTTTTTATCAATAAATTTAAATATAGAGGGGTAAATTTTGTCTCAAAGAATTCCAGAAATATTCTTGAGACCATTCGTGCTTTTTAAAGTAGTAAGTATATATATATATATGGGTCCGTTCTGGGACCAGTTTCTAGGTCAAATGGTTTGACCTTATGGTTCAAATGAATGACCCATTTTGACTTAAAATAAATAACATAAATAAAAACAGTCAAAAACCGTTGCTCGGGTCAACGGTTCAACCACCTGAAGCAACAGGTCACTGATCAAATCAATAATGTTTTGCCAAAAAAGCGGTTATAGGGTAAAATAAAGTCAATTACCTTACCGGTTCTTAGATTTTTCGATCCGACCATCTGGTGCAGTCTGATTTTCAAAACCATGCCCACTACAAGGCAGCGAATTGTTCTAAGATGAACAGAAATAGCGAATACATATCCTATCCAGAAGATCCTCTATCTGATGGGTGGCCTGAATCGGCCATAGGACCTATCCATATGGTATAAATGGTTGGGATCGTGTAGGGAATCTCCCTAGTTGACCCAATAACAAAATTAATCAAACAACCCTCTTGAGAATGTGGTATAGAGCAACATGGCTTAACGGATCGTTTTAATGAATAATAATAAACTTTACAATAACCAAATACAATATTCAAAATGAGGAGCAAGAGGCCCAAGATGTACAGAATTTACGTGTATAATTATTCAATGAACATGTTAGGTTGTTGTACTTTTCTCTACAAGTTTGATGGATCTATTGGTAATGTTGATTGGTTTAGGTATTGGTGGGAACACAGTCAATATGTGTTCTTGTACTTCAATCCATCTCTCTTTCTTTACTATCTATAAGATTACAATATATATATGTTTGGATGATGGTGGTAATAAGATATTTAATTGGGCAATATTTTTAAAACTGATCCGGAATTGAACTGCTTTTATTATTGGTTTTTAGTTTAGCAGTTCAACAATTTTAAATAAAAATAAAAATGGCCAAAAATCGGGTGAAATGGGCTGACAGTTCAAACATCCGAGTCAGTGGGTCACTGGCCAAGATTGACAGTTCAAATATACAGTCTGTCGAATCATCGACTAGCAGGGATAACAGACCAACTTACTTGAGGTGAGTTCAAATTAACCCCCCACAAGATTGCACCCCCCTCCCCCAACACCACCACAACGTCCTACAGCACATTCCTGTCCTGTATTGGGAATATCTCCCGATGATATCATTATTTCTGAGATTATCATCGAAAGATGTTTTCAATACACAGTAGAGATGTTGTGAGGGGCTGATTTGGTCTCACTTGAGGTAGGCTAGAGCTCTAAGCACGTGGCTAGTTGAAAGGGTTGTCTATGTAATGATTCATGAAGAAAAGAGATAGATTTGTCTATTTGGAACACCTTTCACAGCAGAGTTATGGTATGAATCACAGAAGAAGTGAAAGAAAAAGTTGAAGAATGAAAGGAAGAAAAGACTCAAGGGTACCTTTCACAGCTAACAAGTCATAATTAACCATCTAAGATGATAACTCTCTTTGTCTATTTTAAACTTGAGGTTATGATGG